ATATATATATATATATATATATATATATATATATACACACACACACACACAAGTGCACAAACTTTAGGTCTGTCTGGCTATCTGCCTGTCTGTCTCCCTGCCTGCCTCTCTCTCTCTCTCTCTGTGTGTCTCTCTGTCGCTCTCTCTCTCTATTTCTCTCTCTCTCTCTCTCTCTCTCGCAAAAGAAAGTTAAAACTTTTAAAGGTGTATATTTTCAAAACAGCTCCCTCAAATTCGATGATATTCTCAGGCGTTACTTCCTCAAAATTGCTAAAGCGGTTGAGAGTATTTGCTGTTTATGAGGCTAGAAGAATACATTTACACTTCAAATCACGTGGAGTGCATTTTCATTTATAATTCCTAGTTTTTAAATGTAGAAAAAAAAATGCAAACGTTTTGTTGCTTTATGTGAAGATTAGATCCATGTTCTACCTTTCCCCTTTCCCTACGTCTATCAGTACCGCCTCACTTACGTTTACAACGCGAATTTATTCAATGCTCAGTCCATTTATAACACTAATAATTGCCATAGGAAAGGAAATTCCTTCGCGGTTGGTACAGACTTCGCTAGTTACTTGAGAAATATAAAATGTAAACTTTTTTTTTACTAGAGAACACAAACACACACACACACACACAGAGAGAGAGAGAGAGAGAGAGAGAGAGAGAGAGAGAGAGACAGACAGACAGACAGACAGACAGACACAGAGAGAGAGAGAGAGAGAGAGAGAGAGAGAGAGAGAGACAGAGAGAGATACTAGGGGAAGTCATTTAGTAAAGGCAATTGTATTCCAGTCTACAGTCTGCATGGAACAATATGCAGAAAAAAAAAATATTATTTCAGGGCTCAGAATGATCTTCTTGCAATGTCCAAAGTGGATGTAGTGACGATTTAGCTCCTACAAGATGACCACAGCACTGTTAACATGAACCGTTGAAGAGCAGCGAGGTGTTATTGGCCACACTTGACTTCTCTTCCTTTTTTCGTGTAAAGAATTGTTTGTGTGTGTGTCTTGTTTTGCGCAATTGTGTCGTGTTTGTTTACAGCAGAATTGAGATATGTGCACCTTTTGTTCAACGCACCATACTTCCTCACTCATTTGATGACCAGCTCAGTCTTGCACTTTTTTAAAGCGTTATCTTCTTCTTCTTCTTCTTCTTCTTCTTCTTCTTCTTCTTCTTCTTCTTCTTCTTCTTCTTCTTCGCGTTTACCAGCTGTAAACTCTGCCAGAAAGTTATGGGTGTTCGTCCACTTCTGGACTGCAGCCTTGTTCCAGAACCTAAGTGTTGCGTGAACATCCGTTTTACATATCTGACTGTTGGTTTATGTCTCTCAGTCAGATGCACTCCGACTTCGAAGAGAGCACCCAATTACTCGACTCTTACGACATGCTTTTGGGTAGGCAGTGAGTCTGTTTTTGTTTTCCCTATAAAAGGAGCCTGAAACTCACTTAGGGATAAAGCTTTATAATCTTAGACTTCAAGCGGCTAGACGCTCGCCTGCAGATCGGAAGGTCGTAGGTTCGGGTCCCGACGGTGGCCGGATTTTTTTCTCAAAAAATAACCTTTGTTCCCAGGTCGACCCAGCCTTGAGTGGGTACCAGGTACATTCATGGGAAGTAAAGACGGTCGGCATGATGCTGACCACATCACCCACAAAGTACCATTTGGTCTATAATATACAGGTCTAGCCCCATATACCCAGTACGAATGTAGGCATGGAAAAGGGTCCTTTATTTTTACTTATAATTTCAGACTTAGAATCTCTTAAATTCCCCTCTTCCCCTCGCCAGTTGCACAGTCTGCCTTTTCAAATCGACAGCTACGTCACTCCCAAAACTGCTGAATTAACGAAGCAAAAACTGAAGCAATTTGGCGGCAAATACTAGAGGACACCGGAATGTCACATACAGTTGGAGGACAATTTCATACAAATTGATTACTACCGATACAGTACAAGGACCGGGCAGGCGTTAACTCGACCCCAGTTAGAGAGTTGAGCCGGAGGAGATATCTCACCGTGGCACGCGATGCACGCCGCATCCCGGGACAAACACTCGGCAATCAGATACGATATCTCCAGCAAGATCGTAGGCCGTCGCAAGGCTCCAGTTAGGGACCGTTTTTTTCATGTCAAAAACGGGCTCTGTTTTCGGAACCTAATGGAGATGACATTTTTGTTACTACGATTATTTGTAAAAACAAAACACATATCTGCAGAGTGAGTCAGAAATACTATTACTCTTTTGTGGTAAACACAATGTTACTATTCAACATTCCCGTGTGGGTTCCGGGGTTCCTTGTGGAGAAAACGAAAACAGACCCACTGTCTCCTCAATATGCATGTCGTAAGAGTCGACTAGTTGAGGGCTTCCTTTAAAGTCGGAGTGCATCTGCCTGAGAGGCAAGGAAGCAACAGTCTGCGATCAGATAAGCAAGATCTGTAAAAACGGATGCACGCGCGAAACTCGGGTCCTGGAACAAAGCCCAAGTCCAGAAATGGACGAACAACCAGGTCTTTCCGCTGGGGTTTACAGTTATTTAACAAAGTTTACTCAGGGGCCAACATTCCGAAAGTGCGAATCCTCAAGGGCCAAACCCGTAGAGTATAAAGGTAATTAGCGCAATACAACCAGCAATGATCCTCGGGCCACTTGCTATGTTTCCTCGCCCAGCTCCGACTCTACATTGTAGAGGGAAATGGCGGATGGTACATAATTAATCCTGTCTTTTCTTTCTTTACTCTAGACCCTTCTTGTCTTTCAGGTACTGAAGAGGCATTGGGTGCGAGCCTCGGCGTGTTTATGATTTTGTTTATTCAGCGGATCAACATCATGACTCACGGGTGTAACCCACAAGTTCTTCTTTCTACTTCTAACTCAAGCCTAAGTCTGAAGGATATCAGCGCAGTGCACGAACTCTGCTGCATCAGCGAGGATCCTGAAATACTTTGGGTAGATTTTTAACCTTAAATTTTGCCCGGGCTGCACCGTTAGGCTACTCTTTTCGATTTCCAACTCCCAGACTACTGGCTTTTTGGTTTGTGTCTCCGCTCAGGAGGGTTGTTTGAATCGGTGTTCTTCAAACTTTCTACCCCTGGGGACTGGTAAAATAGTAGACATGTTTTTGCGGACCGGTTGAAGGCTAAGTTAGTTAGTTGCGTATCCTTTACAGAGCGTTGCAGAACCAACCCCAGCATTTCGTGTAATTTGTTGTTGTTGCTGTTATAGTTTTTCTAGGCAAATTTTACGTTCAGTAGTTTGCCATTGCTTCATGAACGGTCAGCCCTCGGTACCGATGTAGAAACCAATGCAAGACAGATCGTCCACAGATAGGATGGAACCCGGCACCCCCGGCATTACGAAGCGCGTTCGCCTAAGCCGCAAACAAAGACGGCTAAGACAGAAACAAAGTGAAAAACGAAAAGTGCAATCCCCAGAATTGAGGTGCAACGCCTCACTTCTGGCTACCTTTGAGACTCTTCCACAATCCACATTCCTTGCTTTGTGCGTACATCCGTTTACAGATCTGACTTACTTGTACGCAGAATGAGTTCCTCGCCTTTCGGGCAGATGCACTTTGACACCCCCCCCCCTTCCAATTAGTCAGCTTTTACTACATGCTTGTTAGGAGGCAGTGAGTCTTTCCACCCTTAACCCCCCCCCCCCCCGAATGGGGCCCCAGAGCCCACATGCGGAGTCATAGGTCAATTAATGAACTGATTATATCAGTGTTTCTCAAACTTTGTACGCACGCGGCCCACTAAAACAGGAACAGTTGTTTCGCAGCTCACGTGACAGCTAACCAATCACGAAAACAAAACGAAATGTAGATATAAGTAATCTTGTTAAATTCGATGTCACAAAATTACAATGTTTAGCGAATGTGACATCTTTTGCTGCCAAGAGGTTCGAAGTCTCTGTAGTAGAACAGGGTACCTGTTTTATTTTCATCTTTGATGTAATAATCCCACAGAGTGCAATCTCGCCTAACTACCCTCTTCCGTTTCAAGATTCCACAAAATATGTGGTGGTTTGCAATGCCTAAGCTTACAGTGTTTTACAGACCATTACCGAGAAACCATAGAATGGACGCTGTCGTATCGTATCAAACAAAAATTCCAAGCTTAGTCCTTTTTAGCCGCCTGATGGCCTGCTTTATCAAGGACGGTTCCTTTGCTAGCTTATTTTAGTTATTTTCCTTTGTGGTGAGCAATTACACCTAAGTTTGTTCTTTTGTTTCCTAAGTTCTGGTTTTATGGGTCCTGGATCCTGTTTTAAGTTGGCTGTCCGCTAGCTGTTGCACTGTTCATCTGTGCGAGCACCAAGTCAGTCCTCAGTCACACCACCGCGAAGCAAACAGTTCCGCATATTGAATGTTCAACACAAGGCCCTAATCAGGACGACTGTCACAATCTACTTGTTGTGCGCAGCCGTTTTTTTTTTTTTTTTTTCAAATATGTAGAGGAGGTAACAAAGATATGCAAAAAAATTAGAACGCCCGAAGGTGCCAAGATATTTTATAGTTAGGTCGGAAGATGGAGAGAGACAGATAGCTTGCTAGGTTGAGAAAGAGGTCCCTGGTGCGTTGAACTTCTGGTGGAATGAGGCTCTGCGCAATGCCTGCCCTTCGTGCGTTTTGTTCCTGGGTTGATAGCTCGTGTTGTGGCAGGAATTGGTCTCGTTCCTTTTATCTGAAAATAGACTGATTTACATTTTAATGGACGCTGTCGGACTCGCAACGGCTATGGACGTCCCTGATTTACATTTTAATGGACGCTGTCGGACTCGCAACGCCTAAGCCACAGACGCCGCAAGGGGAAAACATAGGCACATTTTTAATCAGGTTGGTTGTACTATTAGCATATCGACTCTTCGCTGGCTTCCTAGGACTGAGACAGAACACGTATCGAAATGTCCCGAGTTCAAGGATATCAGTTCTTGATTGATTGATTCATTCATAACTTTCCCTTATCCGCTTGTGTTTGTATCGTATTTCAGGAGTAAAATGTCCGGATCCAATCCCCCCAGAAAATGGTGCAATAGTTGGCGAAGGCAACAAAGTGGGCTCTGTCGTGTATGTCGAATGTCGACTAGGCTACAGACTCGATGGACCTGCCGTGTTGGCATGCGTGCCTACCTCAGATGGAGCTGAGTGGGACTCCACCGACTCAAGACACTGTATAGGTCAGTCTTTCTATGAATGCAAATATATTTCTTCTGATCGTTCACCGGCTGTAAACTGCAATAGAAATTGCTGGTTGTCTTGAATTTTATCTTGTTCCAGAACTTGATTTCTGCATGACCATCTGCTTTATTTGTATACAGATTGTTGGTTACTCTTGGGAAACTGTACTATGACTTCGATGCTAACATCCCTATTAGTCGACTTCTATACTAAATGATTGTTTAGGGATCAGTAAGAAACGGAGGCAGACTAATAAAATGAGAAGAACTCCTCAGCGGAGCATGCGCAGCAGGGATCCACTGCCATCAGTAGAAAGATCCTTCGTCGACGATTGTTTCGGCCCATTACTTCCTATACAGTCTTAGAAGGTGAGGCGAGCTGGGTCATGACTCCAGGTCTTGATCTTTTCCTGCTGTACTTAAACGGACTCTCGGACAGGGACAAAACAATATGGTGACTTTGCAAAAAGTATTGTGAGATTTGCTGTTATGTTTGTCGCTGCGATAGCAAGTTAGCCGTCTACCTTCACGACCACAGTGACAAGCTTACGATTGGTTCATCGGGCAGATGTTAGACTCTGGCATAGAGAGGCACCGGCAGACACTTAACGATCACTTTGGCTTTAAGGGATAAGAAGCTCCTCTACACTGGGGACTAGGACTGTTCTACCGAGGCCCATCCACCACGACGTTCCGTCGAGAGCTAACTCTAAACCCTTTCTGCTGCTTCGCTCGGTTGTTTTAGTTACCGTTTACGCTCGTTTCCTCTCAAGCAAATCTGCTTAAACACATTAAAAGTGGAAGTTGAGCTAAGACCTCTTGCGCCTATCTCGACGGCAAAGATTTTTACTGTGTACGTTTCGTCTCTCCTCATACTGGCTACGAACTTATTGTTCTTATCGAGCTTTTACAGGTGATTTTCTTCTATCCGCGACTCGTACGACAGGGTCAGCTCTAAGACTAGACTAGAGAGAACCATATCGCTAATCCCACGCCTCCTGCGGCTTCCATCTGTTGCCCGCACTGCTTAAGAACTTTCCAGGCTCATATTGGACTAATCAGCTACCTTCGTACACATAATCATTGATCATTACTACTTTGGATAAATAATGATCTGCATCACTAGTGATAGACGAACAACAACGATAAAAACTGATCAAAACACCAAATTAAACTAAAAATAATGTGTTACTGTTGTGCAATGTAAATAATGATAAAGTTTCAAACAATAAGCATATATGACAATGGAACTGATTATAGTTTAAATAACCGTATCTTTTCTCTGTTGGTCCTGACTAGAACTGGGCGACAAAGACAACCATCACGAAACAGTCACGGTAAAGCCAGGAACCGAACCTGGAATTCAATCAAGCAGTCACGAGCAGATCCCAATGCCAGCATCTATCGACCCTGCACAGCACCTGCGGCTAGGAGCAAACAGCCACGACCACTTTATTAACCATGGTAAGGTATACATAGATTTTATGAGTATTACAAGTGTTAGCCTTAGTACTTGTCTGGTAACTCTGATGACAACCTGGACCGCCCGTAGGATCGGTCCATATCAGGACTACATAACAGGAAAAGAAGGACAACCAAACAAGGATAGAAACATAAATACAAACGACGCAATACCTCAGAAAAAATACCATCACATAAGAAATAAGGAGAACAACGTAAATCAGTAATAACATTTATACACAAGACACAGGAAAGTAGTGTATTGTGTGGTGTTAGGTAGCGGCTCGATGGTTTAAATGGTCCCAAAAGAGACGAAGGGGGGGGGGGGAGAGAGACACCACATAGTGCAAGTGTGTTGGGAAACGAACAGTCAGACAGAATGGCTGGTTCCTCACAACTTGGTTGTAAGCTGTAGCATGAGCAGTTACATGTTGTCAGGGCTCTTTAGGAGCGAGTGAACATTGCAGTGGCACAAACTGATTGATCATCACGGTCTCTAGAGAATTGTACAGACGGCATACTACCAGGGACCGAGACTCAGTATTCAGGGGAAGACATTCTATCAAACTGCTGCTGGTATTACTGGAGTTGGAACTCTGCGACTGCTGGTGATAAGGACGGGGCGCTTGCGGAAGTGTACCGATTGCTTTGTCAGTTCTTAACTCAGCTGCCATTGCGGGTGCTCTGGGTAAAACGTCTATGGAGGTTAAACAGGGTATCTGTCGTCCATAACGAGATTTCTTCAAATCTCAGGATGGTATGATAAACTTCTAAGTAGCAGCCAGGAGGAGACCAATTATGTACACGGCCCCAAAACGATGTTTCCCTTTGTGATTTTTTTTAAAAGAAAACATGACGCCAACAATATAGCACATAATGTAGTCGGACATATTTTCCTGCGACTCGTCAGGGGCTTTGCTACAGTTGACATTACCATAATTATGCAGAAGCACCTTCGACTCAAATCAGATTGTCCCTTGAAATTGTGGCAATAAAGTCTCAGCATGGGATCCACGATTAACCATGTGGTCATTTTGTTTACATAACGCGGGATATGCCCAACCTAAATGCGTCCGCATTGCATTCAGTACCTAAATATGATAAAATACTGCAGAATGCTCACACAGTCTTCCTTCTTCCTGTTTCAGATATGGAAGCAGATTCAGGTAGCAAAAACTCGATCCCCTTGCAGTGCTTGGATAAGCCAGAAGAAGGACCATGCAGAGCATCCTTCAAAAGGTACTACTTTAGCAAGACGACAATGGAATGCCACACGTTCATATATGGCGGTTGCCACGGAAACAAAAACAACTTCAACACAATGACAGACTGTAATCTCGCGTGTTTAGGACATCAATGAGTTTGTACCCATCCACTGACAACTTTAGCATAAACATCTTGTTGCATACCAAAGAATTGTTTGTTTAAGATGGCAACGACACTTCAGGAATTATGTGTATTATATTATTAATGTACACATTTGTTGTATTTTTTTGTGATTGTTTATTTTATGCATTATACTATTCATATAACCTTTAGCATTGTTTGCTCCTTTTCCACGCAGTATTTTAAAACGGTGTGAGTATGTATGTTTTCGGGGTCCTAACGGAGCAAGATGCGCAATCAAAGACTATCAATGTCTCTTAGCCTCCGTCGCCTTTATGTGGTTGATCCTGATACGGTGGAATGTTGGGAGATTCCAGTCGCCATCAGAAAACTGGATGGGACAACAGAAGCCACGCTGTGAGTGTGACGGGGAATGTTCCTCTAATTGTGCTCCACGAGATGTGTTGTTAACTGCACAGGCATGCAGGCAAGGGCGTATGGCTGCACTGGTTGGTTGCCTTATAGCTGGCGTGTGCACTTGGTTTGTCATGACTGCATGTATCAAATATGAATTGCAAGTCTAGTGACAGGCTTTGTATACTGGCACCTTTTATGCGTATGCAAGATGTTGGATGTGTCTGACTTTTCACATATTGTATGTTTCCGGAACTGAAACGGGTCAATTAAGTGGCGACACTCGCTGGAAACTTGAATATAAAGCCTTATACGTGTTGTCACTTTCAGAAAAAAACATTTTAAATGGGAAACAAGTGGATTGCAGAAACCCAAAGACGAAGGTTGAGAAGCCAAAGTGCTGGACCAATCACACCCATGGTACTGATAATCACACAGGATAAAGCAGAATGTACCCCCCCCCCCCCCCCCCCCCCCCGTGGGTTCCGGATCCCATTGGGGGAAAACAAGCGAAATCGGAGTGAATCTCTCTGAGAGAAAAGGAACCAACAGTCTACATATACATATTTTAGATCTGTTATATGGATGTGTCGGTTCTGTGGCTAAGTCGATGCGAACGCTTCACTTTGTAATGCAGGGATGCCAGGTTCGATCCCAGCTGCGGGCAATGCACATTGCGTTGGTTTCGACAGTCGTATCAAGACAGCCGACCGTCCAGAGGCAATGGCAAACTACTGGATGTAATTGCCTAGAGAAACCACACAACAGACAGGGGCTGTTAGGGTTGATTCTGCAACGTCATGTAAAGGATACGCAACTAACTTTTATATGGATGTGCATGCGAACAACCAGTACTTTCCACCGGAGCTTACAGCTCCTAACACAAATGGAAGAGTAGCCGAGCCTGCCAGTCCTATGATAGGTATAACATAACAATTATTGTTCATTACCCCGAGCTACTCAAGTCAACGTTCACTTTCTAGTCAGTTTAGACGAGAAAATGTTGCTTGCTATAAAGGTAATGTCGGGAGATGTGAACCAGCGTCATTGCACACGGTTATAAATCATAAATCTGCCACCAGTACGGACAGCTGATAAGAATTGTCCATTTATCCTAGAGTATCACTCTGTTGCCAGTTTCCTAGAGGCTGGGTGAACCCCGGGAGCCGCCCGGTTTCGAACACCGACCGTGGGCTGCAGCGAGTCGCAGCTGGATTTGAAAGCGAGCTTCTGTGAAATTCAAATTGTGTGCTAGAACTTGTGAGCCTCACCCGGGTCCAATTAGAGAAAGATTTCGCCTATTTTTGGAAGGGGGACTTTCCAAACAATAATTCCTCATTTAAATATCTTAGTGAGCTCTCATTCTTCTCATCAAAGTGAAGAGGTCAATGTCTATCTTCTTAAATGAGTTAGCACGTTGCACTGCAGTTGATAGCTAAGCTGTGATATCTGCACTCAACACATCCACTTTTTTGCAGTATCATAAAAAGTTGCCTCTTTTAACATGCTTATTAGGGGTCAGATGGGAAGGAACTTATTTGCTCCCCGCCCCACCCCCCTGCCCAGGAAAACAGAAATTCGATGGCAAAGAAACAGGCACAATCAAAAACATTGTTTCCAAGTGTAACTTGTCCCAGCATTTACTTGTTTTCTATACTTGTTTCCGTAGATTAGAAGATAGTGAATGCATTTAACAATTCCATGACCCTCGAGTACCATAGTACGATGCTGCAGCAAGCCTGTTCCTGTTTACACATTCTTCGCAACATGGAAGAGTTTGAGGTTTCGCCCTGTACCCACCTCAACAGACAGTACAAGTATGAACACCAGCTAAACTTTATTGTGAAGACGGAACACATTAAAGTCATTGTCGACAATCTTACATTCTGCCTTTGACCTCTAAACAGTACTATGTTTATACTACTGCAAAATGATCCTACATACACTTCATTGATACTTTGCTCCCATCCCATGTTGTAAAGTGCAAATTATGGATGTCACAGTCAGTCAGCATCCGTTGCTTTGCGAACACATAGATTTGGCAGACCACATTACATCAGTGGTTTTGAGAGCTGACCATTCAGAGAGCAGAGGCAAGCTAGCTCAATTTGTCTAGAAAACCACAAACATCCAAATATTCTTGGGTGGATTCTACAACCGACACACAGCTAGCTTGCTAGGTCTAGCCCTATATGCCTAAGGCAAGAGTAAATCTGCCGGAGGCAAGGGGGCAAATAATCTGCATACAAATAAGCCAGATCTGTGAAATGAACGTGCATGCAAAGTTCTGAAACAAGACCAGTAGTGGATGAACAACCAGAACATTCTGCAGAAGACTAACAAGAAGAATTGCTACCCATCTGTTCCAGCATGGCAGAGTCAGGAATTTACACCTGAGGCCTGGTTTACTCACATACTGCCTGCAGCAGAACTTGAATCCAAGTACGAGAAGGTTGTGGTAGTAATACTCATCTGCTTAGCAATGTGGTTGTAGCAGTAATTATTTTAAATATAACCTGTGTCCTTTCCAAGTTACAACTGTTACTTATTTTCATATAATAGATACTTTTTTTTAAATGTAATATTGTTCAGCCGTTTAATGGTGCTTTTGATTTTATAACAATTTCTGCTGTCAATGATTATATCTTAACTCACTGGCACCAGTATAAATGTATTTCATAAGGTTCGGTTTTTTGGCGATATGAATCAATTATACAGCTGGTAATATCCATGATTACCATCAGTTTTTTCCCCATCATAGTTTAAGTGACTAACTGCATTGTGCCTGTTTATAATAGCCTCCAAATTAGTACCTTTAACTTTCAGCCTTTGTTATCCAGGTTAGCTTCTCGTTTACTTCTGTGGGGTATTTTTACGTGAGGTGACCATCTCCTGGTAATGTCCTTAGATAGCCATCGTGGACATTATTACTGTGCTTAGTCGACCCTCAAGGAAAGGCAAATCATGGACATTCCCGACATTCAAGGAGGCTCCCATAAAAAAAAAAACACAGCTAATACAGTGCGCTTTGTTAGTGGGTTCACTCAAGAAATTGTCATGTCCTACACAAAACTGCGTACCCTCTCCATCCATACATACTCCACTCATTACAGGCTGTATCCTTTATGGATCTCCAGGAAGCAGTCAGCAGACATGAGACTCCCTGCCTAGGCATTTGTTGACTGGCTTAGCCTTTCCAGTGATCTTGATCTACCTTGTATAACTAAAGAATATCACCCCCTTATACGGTACACGCCTGATAAGGATTACTCACCTGGTACCCATGAAATTGCCTCTAATCCCAAATGCTACTTATACAGAAGAATTCAAGCAGGGAAAATAGCCAAGGGTGGTTAACAAACTGTTCTTCACTTCCATAAGCCTCCCTCATCCAGATCAGTGTTAGTTATTCTGCCACTCTAAAGCACTCCCAAGATTTGTCCCAGAAACCACTGTTTAGGTTACAAATTTTCTAACTTAGCTTAAGTAGACGGGGTGGGTTTTCCCCAACTGCTGAGGGGTTTAGGGCAATGTTTTCCCAGTGCCTCATCAATGACTTAATAAACAGTATTGTCTGCACAGCATATTTTGCTGTTATTTAGAAAATACAGAAGCAATTGCTGGACAATGTGGACAGCTTAAAAATGGTGGTTAGTCCAAGAGTAGCACAGTAAAGTGCACAAACTGCCTCTTCTCGGTTGTAGCTACATCTATTGAATCAAATCTTTATACATTTCTGACTGAAAAATATTGCGTGAGTGTTACAATTTTTCATCGTTTATTCAAACATTTGTATTTTTTAAAAATAAATACCCAACTGTACTAAGTTGTACCGTGTCGGCTATGCAGAATTTTGATAAAAAAAATTGTGAAAAAAACTTCCAACAGCGTGCACACCCCCAACGTAAAAATGCATATGGCGGCTGTCAAATTTACCAATGCTGCCAGCCCCACGCCAAACTTGCCAATCACTTAGTGCTAATGTGTAATCGCAAAAGATTGTACCCTCAAAAGTACTTGTCATTCCAAACATAAACACACAAAATGTTATAATATATTAGCTGGTTCAGTTTGCTTCTATAGTAGTGTTTGCCTAATTAAAAAAATGTAACGCAAAGAAAATGTCTGAAACCATCATCACACAAGCCTGTTGCGCTCTACATCCACTTTCACAATACATTTTTTTTAAATGTACATGCATAGCAGCTTTGTCTTTCCCTCACTCGATATATTCTGTATGGCAGACCCTACCAGTAGCTAGGCTACCAAACATTTTCGAGGTCACCGGAAGCCAATCTACTATTTTATGGTAGTGTAGATGTTATATTTACAAAGAAGTCAAAAATGAGAAAGAAAACAACAGATTATTTTACTAAATTTATTACAATTTAGGCAATAATTTCGTACGGAATTGGTGCGAGAAACTCAGGCTTGATAAGCTTTGTGCTCACAAAGTGGGCTTTTCTTGGCTGTGCAGGCTGTGGGGAAAAAAAGTGTACAACTATACATTTCCAGAAATCTGTTATGGCAATTTTAAAATGATTATTATTTTAAAAGTAACTCATTATATTTACAAAACAGTTATATTATACAGACCGCCTTCTCCATCTTGCTTTTTTAAAATTTAGTTCCGTTTTATGTTCAAACACTATTCTCCAATATATGTAACACTAACTTAAAAAAAATACGTATCTAATTAAACGTTAAAAATTAAATTTCCAGTAGAATTGTATACAGCTACTATGATAAACCACTATACTTTAGAAACATTAGGGATCGGTAGTCAAAGAAGAGGACAAAGAAGAGCCTGGAATGACAATATCCAGAAATTGACAGGACTAAGTTATCATACATTTATTAATTCAGCGAAAGACAAAGAAAGATGGTGGATTTTATGTGATAGTGCTTTATCTTCATGGCCCTAACAGTCCAAGGGTTGTTGTGTTCACCAGCTTAAAAGAGACGAATGGCGGCAGTTGATATCTGCAGCAATGAACTTCGAGGGCTGAAGATAGAATGATGAATACAAGGTGTTGGACTCTGCTCGGACTAAGAAAATGCAAGAGAGATTTTTCGCCTGTGTCAATTTTGAGGCTTAACTGAACTGTGACCGTTTACAGTTGGGCTTAGATGGATACACCTTTTCAGCCAACACATCTGACTTCAGCAGGCATTTGCCGAATGGCTTAGCCCTACCAAATAAGAGAAATTGAGTAAGCAACTGGGTGGTTTTTGTGTAAGGTGGCCTAGAATACTTTTAAACTGTTATTTCCCAGGCAGAAATCAGATTAACATAACTCACCACTCTTTTGGTAGATGCCTTGACACCCTTCTCCTTTGCCTCTCTTTTCAGAGCTTCGTTTCTCTTGACACGTTTCAGGAAGTCTAGACGGCAGTTGCTCTGCTTAATGTGTTCAATCCTCACATTGATTTTCTTAGGGATGATGCGGTTGCTGCAAATTAAAAAAAAAATACAGAGTGTTACAAAACCACAAACATAAGCTCTAAAATACAAATGACCATTATTAGAAGATTTGAGATTTTTAACAACGGATCAACATCATGGCAGGTGGGTGTAACCTATAAGTGCTTCTAACTCTAGTCTTTGTAAAAGCTCAGCATAGTGGACAGACACAGTAGCATAGACGAGGATCCTGAAATACTTTGGGTGGATTTTTAACTCCAAATTGTGCCTTCGATTTCAACTGCCAAGGAATTTGTGTGTGCACAACAATGCACAAAGGAGTCCGATTTCGCTACCCAGGTACCAGAGGAATTACTAGAAGTCCAAGTCCACATGAAAAAATCTCCCAGGAATCTACCAGGAATTAAACCCGGAACCTCTAGCACTCGAGGCGCCATGCCTCAAACTATGCACCCCCCCCCCCATATATTTTTTTTAATAATAGGGCATATGACAATAAATACCTAATCAAGAAATGAATTTTCGGAGTGCATAAAACCTCTACCTGAGGGTCCAATTTTAGGGAAAAACAAAAACAGACTGACCAATTATCGTTTTTGTGTGTGTGCAAAGTCTGAGTGCATCTGCCTGAAAGGTGAGGAACCCGGGAACTCATGTTCTGGAACAGAAGTGGATGAACAACCAGAACTGTCCACTAGAGTTTACAGCTGGTGAATAAAGAAGCAGGCAAATCCAAGGTCCTCATCAGAAAGGCTGAACATGTGTTTTAAGTATCTTGTTGATTTATATCTAACTGAACCATCCTCTGATACTGAGAGAATTAAAGGAGCAGTTGGTGCAGTGTGGTTTTCATAAAGGCTGTGATATTTGTAACTTTCTCTGACTTAAATGTATTGCATTTTAAACAAATCAGTTACGCCATAAATCTCTAATTATGACCCTCCAGTTAATATTTTTAATATTTCTCGTCAAAATATCTGTTGTCTAAAATGTTTTACACTTGACTGATCTCTGTCAATCTTAATGTTTGACAGATGAGTTATGTGCTTATGGGAATTTAATCACAAATGGAACCAGCAAATGTTGAAATCTGCTCATGCACAGACACTCTAGCATAGCATGAGGTGTCTACAGTCGAGGTGACTAGAATTTTATATTAAAACACCTGCTGAAGAAAACATATTCAGTGCTAGCTAACTCACGCTTAATTTCTGTGTTTACCTTTAAATAAGTGTTTAGCAAAGCTTGTTGTATTGTTTGCAGCTAGACTGCAATATTTAGGCTATTGAGTCCAAAACGTCTAAATTTCAGCTAAGCAATACCTTAATTATTCAGTCCGGGTAGTTGGTGTACATTTCCCACCCAAGATTCCGTATGGAGATGATTTACATGATCAACTTTTTGAAGTCCTTATGATCAATCTAGCTGTTACACTTGTCCCTCACCCCAACTCTCACCTATATCCACCACTGTTATGAAACATCTAACATTTATGAATTTAATGTTATGTAATACTAGTTGAAACTGAAAGGGTTAACATTGTTGATTCACACAGCTGTCATATGACAAATGCGACTAGCGTACAAAATCCTTCCTAACTTTGATCACCTACCCAACTTGTTTGTTGACCTCAACACCAACAGCATGAGGGGTCACATTAAAGATCCGGCCTGTCTTTCCGTGGTAGAACTTGTGTGGCATACCTTTTTGAATGGCACCGTCACCCTAAACAACACAATTAAAATGTTATAATTTGAAATCAAATGTCAGCTACTCTGGCTGTGTTTTAAGTACTAACATACTCAAAGTCAGAATAGGAAATAATTAGATAATAGGTGAACGTTCAAATGCCCCTACATTGTCGTGAAGTGATCAAGTCCACCCCTGCACATTCGACTTCGTGACGTTAGCGTCCATAGCAGGCAGGTCACATTTCAAATATAGACCCATCCTGTGGGTATATAGTCCATCATATCTAATTAAACATGTATCTAGCGTAATAGGTATTTTTTTATGCTCTCGGTCTCTTGTGAAGTCTTTATTTTCAAACTTACAGTTGTGGGATAGATATTTTCTAGATTAATATTCAGATTCCGAGAAGCCTTTTTACTCCTCGGCGCACTGATTTGAGAGCTTATTTTTCTGAGGCGACGCTAAGTCGTCCCGCTTCATTCTCTGCCAGACTTTCAGGGTGATCAGAAGATGTTACCTTCGGGCTTAAATTTTGTCTTGAACAAAGTACCAGTTTAATCTTTGGAGGAATCCTGAGCTTGGGTAAGAGTCTATGAGTACCATGATATATATCTATAAAGTTAACCCGCTGCTGGAGGAAAGATTCAGCTATAAGACAGCCCAGAACGAGATCGTTCTTGGTGTCCAAGAACTCACGGCTACTTAAACCAAACCTTTTCATTCGCAAGCTGAGTGTTTGTGCCCTACCTAACCCAATATTGATGTAAATGTTTCAATCTAGCAAGCTATTTGTTCTCTAACTAACTAGTTGGGAAATCAGGTCGAGATTCAGCCGGCAGATTTAATTGGGTCAGCGTACAGCGAGGGACACGCAGTGACGTCGGAGGTTATTATAGCAGACACTAACAACACGGACGACTTATGTCAGGCAGTGGAGGATATAATATATACATGTGTGAGAGAGAGATGGTCTGTGTGACTACAAGTGCAGATGTGAATGTGGAGGGATGATGTCTTTGTATAAAAGTCTATATGTCTCCACTGTGGGACTCTTTAACTGACTGGCCAACAGAGATACATAGAGATTTGAACTGTCTCATTATCCTTAGAGCTGTCCTCTGAGTGATTACTAATGTGGATGTCAATAAAATGAGCTAGGCATGTGACCCCTAAGATAACTGCTAATTCTGAGTTCCTTCTTGATACAGGATGATATCTCCTTGGAGGTCAGGCAGTGAATTGTTGGTCCACAGAACTAGCAACAGGAAAGTCATCTATGTCTATGCCAGTGGTGGGCATCAGATTGCAAGCCACCCTTTGTCATCCATCAAATAGAATCCTCCAGTTGGTCTACAGACAACATTATGGGTGTTGTACCTTCACCAACATTTTATCCAGGAGCTTGTTTGTACCTTCCGTGATTGACTTTGTGTCAGAGTATCCTATCCAGGAGCTTGTTGGGCTCTAGTGTGTCAGAGTATCCTAAAGATAAGGAAAAAATAAGGAAAAATAACAAACAGTGCCACACGCAGAAAAAAAATCAGCAAAAGGTAAAAAAGGGAAAGCATTACAAGGAAAGGGCAATCAAATTATCATATATTTTAGTGTCAGCTGAAGTCTTACCTTGATGTCGACTATATCTCCACGTTTGTAGATTGCCATATAACGTGACAGCTTAGTGACACCTTTCGTTCTGAATTTGCGAGAGAACATGTACCGCGTGCCGCGGCGATAACCTTTGGGATTCGTCATCTTTGTTTACTGTAGACCAAAAAAAATACCAAACTATAAGTATATATTGACTAAAAGGAATATTACCATCATACTAAATAAAGCAACTGTACATGATGCCCTACTGGGTACACAGTGCTAGACCTACATTTTATAAACCAATCAGCACTCACTAGTGAGTCAGCTCTTCTCCACATGATGGGTCTGAACGGACGTGTCTGAAAATATGCCCTAACAGGGCCTTAGTCGTTTGTAAATTGTAGATTCCTTTCCAGCAAGTAAAAAAGTAAAGATTCCTTTTCACGCTTTAGGAGCATTGAAGATACGAGAAAAGCATCTCATTTTTTTTACACAACAAATTTTCCAGCGAGTACACCGCTGAAAAAGTAGGATTACTTTTTGGTAATAATTCTATTGCGCACAAATTATCATGGAATTATTTCCATGGCAGGCAGACCCAGCTCCAACACTGGGTCCTAGGTGTAAACTCTCCCCTGGATCCTAGGTTTCACTTCTCCCCTGGGTCTTAGGTTTTACTTCTTGCATTGCTGCCTATCCTTGGTGTATACTGTATTCCGAGTACTTATAGGACAGACATCCTAATTTTAATTTCTTTTAGACGTGATCGTTCAGACCCATCATTTGGAGGAGATCCTGGTAGGCTTTGATTTCCAGGATTGTACCTGGTGCTCGTTTTAGGTTGGGTTGGCCTAAAAAAAAATATAATTAGAATTGAATTTTGACCCACAACATTTAGGAAATAAAAAATGAGCATTCACAGTATATAACTGAGCTGTGAAACAATGTGCAAATGAATTTGCCATTGCGGCGCATTGCAGTACGTTGTCACCTTTTTGTTTCTCCAGATGACAATTATATTGTGTTTCTGCGAGCCAAACTCACTAAAGCAAGCATGTCATATAAGGCAACTAACGGGGGGGGGGGGGGGGGGGGGGGGGGGGGGGTGATTTTGGTCCCAGTGCATCTGCTTGACATGTGAGAAGTCAATAGTCTGCATACAAATAAGTCAGATCTTTAAAATGGGCACAAACTCAAAACTCACCTTGTGGAACAACTCCCAGAAGTGGACACACAACTGAATTTTTTGCTAGAGTTTTCAGTTGGGGAAGAAGAAAATACTGTTACTGTGCTTAAACCAGGCCTGGGAATTTTAGGACTAGCATGACCCACTCATGAAACGAAAGATCCATGACAATTACAGCATAGGATTATGTATCAGGGCTATTTTACATGGTTTTTGGTTCTCCGAATTTCTACCCTATTTTATGGCAGACCCTCAGTCGTGTGTGAAATGCAGACTTCCTGCGATGAACAAATCGCAGTAAAACTAGGATTACTTGACATTGTCACGGCACGCAACACTGCAGACAATAGCGACCGTTGACAATTTTGAGAATTTCCGCAGACGATACTAGTGACCATTGATAATTTTGAGCATTTCTGCAGACGATACTAGTGACCATTGACAATTTTGAGACATGCAACATTACAGACAATATGGAGATGGCAGGGAGACCAAGCGCTCCAATGGTATTTTTCCGATTAAACCCACTACTGAGTGTATACCATGCGTGGCGCAGATAGGGATATAAACTAGATGCCTGGGACTCACTAGCAAATAAATTAAAGGAAGTTGCAGGAGATGAGGTATTTGCTGCTCGTGAGTCTCCTCCCCCCTCCCATCTGCGCCACGCATAAAGACGCGCGGGTTACTGTAGGCAATGCGGCATAGTCGCAGAAACAGGTTTGCAATTAGCATTTCACTGGGACCCTGTTAGAGCATTTGTTTCGTTTTGCAAAGTCAATCCTAGTTTTGCTGCGATTTGTTCCTCGGCAGGAACTCCACTTTTTGCATAGGAGTGAGGCCCTTTTATGGTATTTCTTTGACCGCCATAATCAAATGTGGGGTAGACATCTGGAGGAGAGCCAAGTCTTTTTGATGGGTCTAATGTTGAAAACGAAGCGATAAATTCATGAACTTGCCAAATTAAAGTTTTACACTGGAAAAAAAATTAAAACAAAGAAAGATTGAAAACCGTTCCTGACGTAATAGCTATGATTACAAAGTACTTTTGCTGCATAATTTTCTGTAAAACACCTCAGATTACAATTCAAAATTTAAACTATTGCTTTTAAGACTAGTCGATTCCACGCTACATTCCCCTTTCAGCCCCATACCGTTTATCGATAACACCTGAAGATGCTGTCTGTGGTTGATATTTAATGGCAATACTATTAGAGAAACTATTTATCAATTTTAGCACTATAAAACAAATATTTAAATAGGGGAATATTTCCTTTTAACTGCCAATTCTATAGGTAAATTAATCAGAAACCGAACTCACATGTTCTCGTCTCCTCTCACTCCCTGAGTAAAAAACTGAAAGGACCGGATCCGACTTCCGGTGATTGAGCAAATGTGTAACCGGATTCCTCAGCGGAATAAATATGTAAATACTTATGTTAAATAATAATTTAGTCCAAAGTAAGTATAGTTGTTATACAATTCTTTATCTCCATCTTAAGAGTAATTCAGTGAGCGTATGCAGAGTGAGTTTTGAAAGAATGTTAATTTATCAGATTAATATCAATATTCGAATGATTTTCAGATGTTTATCAGAAATGGATACGTTAAATTGCTCAGTATAGTGTCATAAATGTTAGCATCATTATCAAAATTATCAACAATCTCAACATCGGACGCCCATTTATTATTTTTATTTTAAAGCCCATCTTCGGCTGTCGCCTGGACTCTTAGCTGAAGCGAGGTTTCTGGGACTTATGCCCTGGGGGATTCTCATCCGAATGGTGGCACTTGGTGTTAACTACTCGTTGTGCCTCATGGTGGCGTTGAACGTCACTCACCCACTCATCAACATAATCATATAATTAATTTAATACGGTTAACTTATACATACACACACACACCTAAATGATTATTGTTAATAATTTCACACTAAGCTTTTTCTTTTTATTTACTCTACTCCTGGAATACCTCGCAGCGTCTGGACAGTAAGAGGTCTCTGGAACAGGCCCTTCGGTTCGTATAAAGTACTTTTCAGTGTCTGATATTTCTGCGGTCATGTTCTGCGTGGTCGGCCTCTGTGCTGTTCCCGCTGTATCTGTATAACATTGCTCTCTGTGATGCCATGTCTGATGTCCATCTTGTTATATAACCAAGCCATTTGATGTGTTGTCTACCTATAAACTGGAATACTAGTTCTGTGCTGAACCAGACTGAAAAAAGTAAAAATGTACTCTTGTTTTGTGAGCCAGTGAACGCCGTGATTACGTCAAAATATACCGCGCGAGTTCCTGGCTTCAATGTATTGTTGCCCTCCCTAGACGTAGCCATAGCAACCTCTATCTTGTGACAAATGCATCTAGAACCGGGGCTCTCAAACTAGCTATAGCAACCTCTATCTTGTGACAAATGCATCTAGAACAGGGGTTCTAAAACTGCTGGTCGCGACCCTTTTTGGGGGGTCAAACGACACTTTCGCCTAAAACCATCAGAAAACACATATTCATTAAAGTTGTGACGGAAAAAATTGCTTGGAGGTTGCAACAACATAGGGGAACTGTATTAAAGGATGGCCACAACATGAAGGAACTGTATTAATGGATCGCCACAACATGAAGGAACTGTATTAAAGGATGGCCACAACATGAAGGAACTGTATTAAAAGATCGCCACAACATGAAGGAGATGTATTTAAGGGTGGCGGCATTCAGAAGTTTGGGAGCCACTGTTCTAGAATGACACACTTGAGAAACTAGACCGCTCACGAGATAACAGAGAGAAATTAATCCAGTGAATTATTCCAGGTAGAAACTTTGTTTACAAAAACCGTCCCCTTTCATCGTAGTTAAAAAAAAATCTTTGAATATTCGAATAATTTTCAGATGTTTATCAGTAAACAAGATGTTTGAATAAATTTTACATTTAGTCCCTGGAACTGTCAACCACGAAGACCGACGAGACACAATTAAGACTGCGTCATTGTTTACATTAAGTATTCTACAGATAGTGAGTGAAGCATCGATTGCTCATTTCTGGGTTTTCTTCTGTTAACGTGAATATATTATTAATTCGTAGCAACTCAAGCACAGTTGTCCCGTGCTGCAGTTGATACTAACTGCAGTTCTAAAGGTCCGGAGAATAGTGGGTACACATACAATCAATCGATTTGCTGTATATATATTCAGTTGTTTGATTGTGGCGCTTTGTGCAAATTACAATTTTGTGCACGCTGTATTTTTTTTAAAACCAGACTGTAAGATGTATTTGTCTGCAAAATTGAACTTGCCCTAATTGGTAATCGATACGTTGGTGGTCAGCGTGATAAGACTGTGCATATTTGTTAGTCTTCTGTGCAGTTTTATGTACACGTGTCTCCATGTTTTGATAGTTTCACATACGTACACATGTGTCTACGTCTTGATATGGCACTCATATGTGTCAGTGCTCCAATGTTAATATTATAATGATATTTGTTAGTGCTCCGACATCTCAGTAGGGTACATACATAAGATGCCGAGGTAAGTGGTTGTGAACGAGCAGGTCAAGGCCGTCTCCATCTGACGTCAGATGGAGACGGTTATGAGCAGGCCAATGGCAAGTATTGAATCAACGCATGCGGGAAAATAAATAGTAGCGTTGTTAGTTTCAGGACGAAATTTTTTGTCATTTGAAGCCCTACTCTGGCTTTTGCCAGGGGCCGCAATATAGGCAGGCCATAAATATGGCCAGATGTCTGAACGCGGTTTCTGGGACCTCTCCACGACGATCCTCATCCGCATGGTGGCACTTTGTGTCATCGGGTGTTTATCGCTTGTGTGATGTCCTGGTGGGGTAGAAAGTCAGTCAAATTCAAAAACTGTTTTCAGTACTTTTTGGCAAAATTAAAATTCTCAAAATTTTAAAACAATAAATGGTAGCCGAAAGGACGTTGTGTATGGAAGCTCGCTCTCCTTCGAGATACGCCTAGCCAGATCAAAGGGAGACAGAACAAACAGGAAACACCAAGAAAGAAGAAGGAAGACATGCACCAGTGACAACAGGACGAGCGGTTTGATACGGAGGGAAGCATCAAGCCCAGAAATGGCACAAACACTAAAATTCAGTCACGAAAGTGACGCAAATAACCCAGACCACAAATGTAGGCGGAGACTGTTAGTAGCCTAGGCTTGCTAGCAGCAATCTGAACGGGGTCGAGCTTTTCTTTTTTTTTTCTCAAAAGGACTTGGACTTGGACTCATGAATGCTACACAGACTAGACTGATGAATAAGGACGAATCTCTGACGCTAACGCAATCACATGAGCTGGGAGTGAAGCACGTCTTACTGTCTTCGAGGTCAAGATAAAAGACTGCCAACAAACTTCTCAGAGTGACTTTACTTCCCATTCATGAATTGTCGTGTCCCATGGCGTGTCCTATGTTTCGGGGAGGGGTGGGTGTCACGCTTAATTTTTCTTAACGGATGGCGATATCGCATGTTGTAAATTCCAGGATGCAGAACTCCTTCTAACCCCAACCCCTCTGCGTCCCACAAGAGACTGCAGCCTACGTCCCAAGAGTGCATGCAGCCTAGGTCGCACAACTTTATGCAGCGTATTTATAGGCTGCATGCAATCGTGGGACGTAGGCTGCACTCTCTGGTGGTACGTAGGGGGGTTGGCGTTAGGGCCAGTTCTGCATATTTTGGGACCGTATCGCCGTCTGGACAGTAAGCATGACACCCTCGCAGCATAGTACAAGCCCAGCGACACAGCAGTTCATGAATGGGGAGGGAAGTCTTTCTGTTTCTGGGCCCGAAAACACGAGTTAAATATATATGTATATATATATATATATATATATATATATATTATATATATATATATATATATATATATATATATATATATATGTATGTATGTATGTATATATATATATATATATATATATATATATATATATATATATATATATATATATATATGCCATTTTGTCACTACCACAGTAATTGCACTCGGGGTGGCCAGCATCCTCGCACCCCCTTGCCTACGCCCCTGCTGCTTGTTCACATTTTCCCACCGCAGTAGAGGCCGACCTCATGATAGTTTGTGACGTTGTAGAAATCCCCCGCCATCGATTTTTGCCCATGCGGGTACCAACTATAAATACACTGGTAGGTAATGTACGAGAGACATAAAAGCCTCGGATATAAGAAAACAAGAGACAGGAAGACAGACGCCTTTGATGTGAGATAGTCCCCCAGGCACAGTCTGAAAATAATTGAAATGAACATTCAACAAACATAGGTGCAAATGAAACAACTGTGAAATAGACGGCACTATCCTAGTTTAAGAGCACCAGATCTGACCGATTTAGGGTAAACATCTCTAAACAATTTAGTTAACATAAATTATCAAGTATACAAGAAAAGATATGTGATAGCACGATCACAGTAAACAACGCGGGTTACTGATATCAAAGTGAACTAAATTTTTTTCTTGTCGCACTGTGAGTGGCTCTCGTAGTAGCCTGTTTAAACAATTGTCTGAATTTAGTCCACAAAAATGGAATAATTCTCTTTCGCCAAGTTATACCGACGAGAAGAGGTCGACCCCTGCGAACGTGGATACAAGACATTGAAGATACATTGTCTATGAAAGCACATAGGGCTGGAGGACTGGATAGAGAAAGAGACTTTCATGCTTGCCGTGTCCAGAGAGACGTTCAATAAATAATCAACCGTATGATGACGATGGTTTCGAACCTGGCTTCATAAAAATTAGTCCCGAACAATTTACATGACTTTCTGGGTATTTCCTGTGGAGGAAGAGCAGCAAGGAAGAGAACAAGCCACCCCTCTTCAAATGTTGGAGTTTATAATTTGCGAAGATTTAAGACCCGACACCCTAACGACAATACCTGCTGTGGAACTATTAGGTTTTGTTTTTGCATAAATATTGTACAGGTAAGATAACGTTTGTTTTCATCATCTCTTCGCTGTGCCTCGTTTGATCTGCGTTTACTTTCATTTATGTGTTTTTATCGCCAACCCCTCCACCATTTCAGGATTGCAGTCTGTACGATTAACATCTCAATAATGAGAAACAAACCGATACAAATCTTGGAAACTGTTCAGCAGTATGGCCATATTTATATTTATATAGGGGCGTTACAAAACGGTAAAAAGGTGACCTGTAGTTAATCCCCCGTGAGACTACAAAACACCATAAATCAGGGATGGTCAAGTAAAATTGTCCGCAGGGGTTTACAGCGGATTAAAGCAAGCAAACAAACGCCTAAGATGTCACAGTGGAAGTGTGTGTGTAAGTGTGTGGGTGTAAGTGTGTGTGTGTCATTGGGGCCAGAACCTGGTCGCTCAAGCACCTTTACCCCCCCCCCCCCACTTCCCACCACCCCTATTTCTGTTAAGGGAGAAGTGCCCCGATGTCGATGCTTTGCTAAAAAAATCGTCACGTTCTACCAGCATCCCTGAAGGGGGAGCTTTAGGTTATAATTGTGTCAAGGTTATGTGCGCCTAATAAAATGGCTTAGCATCGCACGCCACCAAGAATCCTGAAAAGGACTTCCGCAGTTTTTGATGCGATCAAAAGAGAGAGATCGAAATACTGTCCTGACCAGGGACAAAGCGGTCTACCGGCGAGCCAGTGCGCAACCCGGTCATCATACAAAGACATTTTTATTTTTTTCAAGAATTTAATATATTTTTTTTAAAGTTAGTTGTCCATCCTTTACATGTCGGTGCAGAACCAACCCAGCATTGTTGGCTTTAGCTGACTGGCTTCACAGTCGATACCGTTGTCGAAATCAGAGCAAAGCTGGCTGCTGCTAAATCGCCCGCAACTGGAATCAAACCGGAACCGCCTCGGAATTACAAAGCGCGTTCTTAAAGCCTAAGCCACAAACGCCGACATTTCATTTAACTTCAATTATATTTTTGTGTTTTAAGTTTCTTCATAGAGCACATAATAATATTTGTTAATATTGCAAATTAAACAAGACCTAATAACAACAACAATAATAATGATAAAATATTAACAATAATAACTATTATTTCGCAATTAAGCCCTTCTCCCAACCTCAGTAATTTCTCTGTGGCAGCGTTCCTGTTGTGTATATGTGTATGTGTTTATGCATGTAGTGTATGCGTCAGGGGGTGAAAAAAGAAGGGGAGGCGGGGGGAAAGGGGGGGGGGGGGTTGTAAGCTATTTCTAGTGCGCTATGTGAGTTAATTGTTTTTGTTTTGTTGATATTCTCAACATTTCTTTGAACAGAGACGACGATGAGGGCTAACCTTCTAGGAATGGTTATGTTATTTCCAATAGCTATGAAAGTAGATACGGCATCATCGTCATCATCTGCGCTAAATTCCACCACTAACAAAACCCTAGCTGATTCTTTTGTGGCAGTCAAAAATATGCTGACTGGCCGTCTCAAATCCCGGTTCAGTGTCCCCCCAAGATACTACAGACAACCTCCCAGTGTTCAGCTGACATACACGCCGTTTCAGATTATCTTAGTGGATGAGATTTTTCAGAGTATCACCGTGTCTTCTACGATAACTTTGACATGGATAGATTACAATGTTGGCTGGGACCCGAAACAGTTTCACGGCATCCAGAAGATCGATATGCCGACCAATCTCTTCTGGACTCCAACCGTGCTGATTCCCAAGGCAACACAGCGGTCAGGGGTACAGTTAAAGATGCCACCATCCCTAGAAACATCATATGAAGGATATGTTAAAGCGTTTATACCAGGATTTACTTATACGCTGTGTAACTTGAACATGGCGAAATTCCCATTTGATACTCACAACTGTACCATCGTTTTTGTCGACAGAGATCAGTACAACATTACAGCGGATACAATGTCCATTGAAAAAAGAAATGATCTTGGCACTAATGTAGCGTGGATTTTACTGGACTACGGTTGTAGCTCTACAAAAGTACATAGTCGCATGCCACGTTTTTATTATGTTACCTGCTTTGTGCAAGTACGCCGGCGTAGTGAATTTTACGTCGCCAATCTATTGACACCCATAGTTCTATCGTCTGTGATGACACTAATGGTGTTTTGGATTCCAGCGGAAACGGAGGAAAAGATTTCATTTCTGGTGTCGATGTTTACATCAGCTTCTGTGTTCTTGAACTATATGATCGACATGATCCCTCGAAGTGTGGAAGTCCTTCCCCAGCTTAACATTCTCGTGTTTGCAATTCAAGTTCAGATTATTTTAGCCACAGCGGCAACAGCTTTCGTGTTAAGACGATACAAAAAGGAACAGCAGATTGAAAAACAACGTAAAATACTGGAACTACTAGGACAGAGAGAAAGGCATAAAACATTGCCCACGCAAAACAATGAACGGATTGACCCAAGAACACAAGGTTCATGTCAGTCGTGGCGTAGAAACATAGTTCATCCTGAACCAACAGGGACCAGTAATGTTCCACAGTTATCTGATCCCAGGGCCAAGACAACAAGACAACTTAACAACGTCTTTATTTCAGACATAGCTGATCCACTGGTTTATGTTAATCGTAACAGGGATAAATTTTCAGCGAATGAAGTCCACAAGGTAGTTAGAGAAAACAGCAAGCAAAGCAGAAGTCAAATTCTGACATACAAACAGTTGGATACTTTGTTTTTTATAATTGTTCTAGCACTGACGCTTGCTGTTTATCTGCTGGTCTTTTTAAGGTCATAAAAAGTAGTTTCTAAACTACATTACCATAGAAACATTCTAAGAATGTGAAGACCATGAAAACTGACACCCATTGTTTTTTTTTCCATGCCGTTGCTTGGCAATTTGTCTCCCCAAGGACCCAATTAGCCACATCCAGGAGGGCAGATCATGAAAACCCGGTCCAGCCGACTCCTTTACATTCTTCTATCCTGTATCTGCAAATGAGGGCATAGGTTGCCTTAACCCAGTTCACACCAAGGCATCATATCCTGTGCTATCTCTTACAGTTTAGTGCCCCCCCCCCTTTTTTAATTTTGTTGGCTTGATCCCTAGCTAGTTCCCATCACTTATTAGTGTGTGTGTTCTTTCTTTTTTTTTTTTGACGCGCCTCTAATCCCTTAACACCGTGGGTCACAGTGTAAAGGCATTTTAGGGTTCTTTATTAATATCCTACCCCCAAATGACGTCACAGGACAGTCCAACATTTTAGAGGGTGGTAAGACTGGGTTTTCCGGCATTCTGATGCTTTTAACAACCCCAAAACATCTGGAAATGGCTCTAACCCCAACTCACCTATGTCCCAAGAGGGAGTGCAGCCTAGGTCCCACGACTGCATGCAGCCTATCTACCATCCCCATAAATATTAAACTTTCCCGTGACCTGTGGATTTCCCCTTTTTGGAGTAGGATAATAATAAAGCACCCATTTTAGTTATATTATTCTCCAGTTTTCTAAACGCGTGTCCTTTCAAACCGTCACCTTGTTAAGACGCTACAAGTAAGGAGCTCTAATGATTATACGAAGTAATATAATGAATTTCCATGCTGCCCTGAGTAGGCGAGGGATGATTACTCGATCAGTCAGTCAGATGACGGGCCCCCAAGTTTGTCTGCAATGGATCCCCGACACGTTGTCTTACATCATGTATGTACACTATCCCAGACAATTGTTTGTCCATCTCTTGGTATTAGCCTCTCCTTTATATCTTAATCTGGCTCGCCTGTTTTCAACATTTCCCTCTTGTATGGGTTTATAAGGGGTAATAGCTTTAATATGGCTTAAATATTTCCCGTGCCTCTTTTTAATGTTCTTTAGCAACTTATTCCATTCCACTGTATTCAGAACCTCTGGATTTGATTGTCTTTTTGTTTGGTTTCTATCAAATTAGATATCTTTTTCTGTTTGAAGTTTGAAGTTTAAAGAACGGATTAACATCATGGCGCACGGGTAGTAACCCATAAGTGCTCCGTTCTTCTTCTTACTCAAGTCTGAGTCCGAAGAGGCTCAGCACAGTGCACAGGCTCTGTTGCACCCGCGAGGATCCTGAAATACTTTGGGTAGATTTGTAACTCTAAATTTTGCCTAGGCAGCGCCGTTAGGCCACTTTTTTCGATTTTCAAATGCCAATGGATTTTTTTTTTTAACCTACGCAACAAATTCACACGGGCTTGCAATCTTAACACCCAGAGACCAGGTGGAACTAACAGAAGTCCAAGTCCACGTGAAAAAATCAACAGACACAAATAACAGATTGTACCATTTATTGTCTGGCATAGTTCTCTAATCTCATCAGGTACCTGCTATAGAATTATTTTTGAATTTTTCTGTTTGCTGAAATGTAATGTGTTGGAACAAAAGGTACAGATATCACAGCCTTGCTGTAAACTACAGAGTGTATCTTGACTTCTTTTGAGAAAAAAAAAAGCGTCACGTTCAACCAACATCCTCAGAGGGGGAGCTTTTGGTTATAATTGTGACTAAGTTATTTGCGCCACAAAAAATGGCATAGCATTGCTCGCCACCAAGCAGCCATGAAAAGGACTCTTGTAGTGTTGATGTGATTAAAAAAAAAAGACAGACCAAAATACCGTACCGACCCATGGGCGCCCGCAGAAAATTTTCTAGGGGGGCAGGGCAAAATATTTTTAGTATTGTTTTAATGTAGTTTTAATTTACTGTACCGTATTTGTATGGTGAACGAACGGACAGGACACTGTAGTAATGAAGGGCATACTGTATCAACAAATTTTTTATTAACACAATATATGTATATAACAAAAAATATTACAACGTAAATTTACAATAACATTTATTCTTTAAACAAGAACTGGAGTCATCTGTTATCGCTACAAAACATATCTACAATTTTGTCCATAAAGTCTTTTTTGTTGCAGTTCACTTTGTCTCCGTGTACGCTTAACATGCACAATCCAGACAGACGTTCATCTGACATTGTAGATCTAAGCCATGTTTTTACACGACGTAATGTGCTGAACGATCGCTCCACCGTACATGTTGTTGCTGGTAATGTTAGCAAAACTAGTAAGGCATACCTGACACTCGGATAAAACTTTGTAAAAGGTAACAAGTCGATTAAATCTTGGCTACTTTTGTATTCTCGCGTTTTCCAAAAATCAAACCAACTCAAGGCTTCAGTTTCAAAATTATCAATGTGGTATACCTGGTAAATAGTAGACACTATATCCTTAAACTGTTGACGATTCAGTTTGCACAATTTCGAAGGATGAAGCAACGCTAAGTTAAATTGTGCACTGTTGGCTTCACAAAATCAACTCTCCATTGAGTTAATTAGAGAATCTAAGTATGGAATGTAAACTGTTTGTCTGAAGTACTCTTCAACACTTATGGTTCCCGGATTACTTCGATGCTTTTGTCTTCCACACTGTCTTGGGATAATCAGTTCAATATCCACTTTCTGTGCGAGTTGTACTGTTTTCTCAAAAATATTCATGAAATAGTTATCGGAATCACCTCGGTAAAGTTTTACTACACTGAGCAGGTTTTGAACCTGCAGTTGGACTTCTGGAAGATCAACTTGAACAGCTTGAAGAGCCTGAGTAACTGGTTCCAGTATGGCAGAGTACTGCGAAATAATATTGAGACAAAATAAAAACGTGCTGGACTTTGATGAACAATGTAAGTGATATGCAGCCTGTCGTGTATTTCCACTTGCATGCAAGAAGAAGAAGAAGAAGAAAAAGAAGAAGAAGAAGAAGAAGACTACATAAATACAATGCGAAATCAGGACAACGAACGCAACTAGCAAAAGACAGAAAACTACATCCAACTCCCTTCTGCAACACCTTATGGCAGTGCTATTCAACTTAATTTACTCAGAGGCCGAAATGTTGAAAATGGCGCGAGCTACCAGTTGAAGAGCCCTGCCTTACGGCATAAACTGTCGGACAAAGATGAAGAAATTTGAATTGTTACTCTACACAGTCTTCATTCTCTGTCTCTCCCTCTCTCACAAGAATAATAAAGAACTCTCAAACAACAGTCAACAAAAATGTGTTTTTATTTAAAAAAAAAAAAAAAAATCTCATACCAGAAAATGAGTAGCATATTTAAATACAGAACATGGAATTTACATCAGTTTCATTTACAATTCTACTGTGGGGCCTTGAATATAGCCGGGGCATAAATATGGCCTTTAAACCACGACACTGGGCTGCAACCCGGTAAAAGTGAAGAAGACAATAGATAGATAGATAAATATGGCCTAGCCTTTAGGAAATGGGTACCAGAGTGACACTCTGGGGTAAATGGAGGAACGTCGCTGAAGCTACAGAGTTACGAGAGGACGGCGACACAGGCGGACAGTTTCTTATCATATGTCCGTACTGGTGGCAGAGAACTTATGGTTTATTACCGTGTGCAATGACGCTAGTTCACATCTCCTGACGTTACCTTTTTTGATACTAAATGTATCAAGACAATTAAAATTAATCAAAATTATTTGTCAGTTCATGATGAGTGACTTTGTATATATAACAATTCAACTGTTACTTTATAGTCACTGCATTCTGAAAAACTAATACCCAGTGATCGTCGTCTTCTTTTGCAGTTTCACTTATCCCAGGTTGTAACCAAGTTTTCTGGGTTGTTTCGTAACAAAACACCCCAGATGACGTCTCGGGGACAGTCCGATATTTTATGGGGTGGTAAGACCGGGTTTCCCGGCTTTGTGGTGCTTTTAACTACCCCAAAACAACTATAACTGGACCTAACCCCAACCCACCTACGTCCAACGAGAGAGCGCTGCTTAGGTCCCACGACTGCATGCAGCCTATCTACCACACCCTGAAATATTGGACTCTATTCGGGGTGAATAAAAACGAAAGCACCGTTTTGTGTATCTGCCCTGTGCTTCTCAGGTGGTAGATTTGTTAATCTGTTCATAGGTTTTATCATTTATCTATCCCTTTCTTGGTTTTCACCTCACTTTGCTCCCTCACGTTCTGCTGAAAAAAGTCTCATTTGAAGTCTGGTCTGGCTGCATTCTCATTAGATGGCCGAATCATTTCATTCTTTGTCTGTATGTAATACAGAAATGGTCTTATTCCAACTTTCTCTCTGATGCTGGTATTCGTAACCCTGTCCCTTCTTGTGTTGTCAACTCTTTCAGTTCCAAAAATTACTACAAAGTGTGTTCAATTTCTAACGGGGTTCACTTTAGAGTACCAATCTTTCAATCTTAATGAAGTAGAATAGTACAGTTATGTGATAGAACAGAACAAGTTAAGAGGAACAATAGAGGACGATGAGTTAACATAACAAAAGACCAAGTTAAAGGAAGTTAGAAACCTATACCGTACAAGGAGTAAGCAAGCAACGTAGGGCGAGGTCCTTGGTACTGAAACAGTTAATCATCCCAGTTGTCAAAGAGACATTATTCAGATAAGAATCTAGAAAAAGTAACAGAAAAAATGAGGGGGGGGGGGGGGAGGGGGAGGAAGACAAAGTTAATCTTTCAATATACAATCTTGAAAAAAAGGAAGGGGGGGGGGGGGGGGGGGAACCTGAGTGTTAATCTTTCAGTGTGCAATCTGGCAAAGGGGTTGGGGGTGGGGGGGATAGCACCTGAGTGTTAATCTTTCAATATACAAACTTAAAAGGACGGGGGGAAAGGTGGGAGGTGTGGGAGACAACTCTTCAACCAGGAAAACAAAAGACATTTAATCCATCACTATCATCAAGTAAGCATTATCATGTACACA